ACCTCTAGATATAGCAAATTTATTTGCCGATTTCTTTAAATCTAATTTTGTTCAGGATGATGATAGTGGTCCATCCACGTTTTGTCAGGTAAATCAGTCTACAGCATTAAATTTTGGTTCCCTAAGGTTAACTTCTGATGACATAATCAGTGGTATCAAGAGCTTAAAACATTCCACTCGGACAGATGCGGATGGACTTTGTTCTGTCTTCCTTAAAAAATGTCAAGCTATTGTAGTGCCTCTGAAATTTGTTTTTAACAAATCATTAAGTTCAGGAGTTTTCGTCGAAGACTGGAAAGCAACAGCGATTACGCCCATTTTCAAAGGCGGTAAAAAGAATGACGTTGCTAATTATAGGCCAATCTCCAAGCTTTCTACTATTGCAAAACTATTTGAGGGGATTGTTAAAGAAAATATGTATTTCGCCGCTAAAAGCTTAATTTCACCTAACCAGCATGGGTTTGTGGCTGGGCGGTCCACGCTCACTAATCTATCCGTTTTTGGTGAATACTCCATTGATGCGTTCTCTGCTGGGCTCCAAGTAGACTGCATATACACCGACTTTGCCAAAGCCTTCGACAAAGTGTCCGATACTATTTTATTANACTTTTCTGATCCCTATACTCTGAAATTGCTGTACACATCATTCGTTCGCTCCAAGCTTGAATATGCGGCCTTTATCTGGAGACCGCATCAAAAATTTGCTGTTGATAGAATCGAGCGTATTCAAAAGCTGTTTCTAAAATATTTCCTTAGTTCCTTAAAATTCTCAGATCCCATCCCTTCTTACCATTCCCGTCTCCTCTTACTTAATCTAAAGTCCCTTGAGGCCAGAAGGACTGTTCTATCTCTTTATTTTGTGTTTGGGGTGATTAATGGAGAAATTGACTGCCCTTCACTGTTGATTTCCGTTCAGTTTCTTGTACCAACGAGGTCTCTTCGCTCTTTTTAACCATTTTATATCAAAAACGTAACTACAAACTATGCCAGGTATGCTCCAACAGCGCGTTCACTTCGCGAACTTAACGAGATTGCGAATTCTATTACCCTTGATTTTTCTTTGCCTAAGAATGTGTTTTCTAATTTACTAAACTCGATATTCTTCTAGCATTTTCTGTATAAATGTTCAAGTCTAGGTTAGCGTTTTAATCAGTAAGAACCATTGTTAGTTTTTTTTTACTTTTTCGAAATAAAACAAACAAATGTGCTACAAGTGCTTATAGAGTGAGCAGCTCTGTTTTAGAATATTATCCCTATGAATTGTAGTGGGCACAATTTTCAAAAAGTAAAGTAGAAAGAGACAGTTTTAAAATAAAAACGTAAATTTATTTTCAGTCAATTAAGTATGAAAAAGATTTAAAACTAAAATGTTTTGCAATAAAATTTAAAAAGCTACCTGTAATAAAAAGCATTTGATATGTTTGCGTCATTTGTCGAACAAAATGTTAAGCAGAAGTTACTGTAAGCTTCAGTAGCATTTGCTTCTTCAAGAAAGGCGCGGAGTGCATTGAAAACGTATGGTTTTAAAACAAAAAATAAGAATAATAATAATGGCCGACCATCTCCTCCGATTTCTGGCATGCGTCTTGATGTTGTCACACAAAGGGAGGGACCTAGAGTTTTACGCCGACTCCGAACGCCGATCGTATTTTTATGAAAAACGGTTTTTCTTGGCAGAAATAAACTCGGTGGTTTGCGCAAATTAGCGTTGCTCGGATTTCACTTTGCACTTGTACTTAAGCAACAGGTGCTGTGTGGTCTCGTTTGAGGGTGCTTCCTCCAATCCCTTCGTAGCCTTCTCAGGCGTGCCCCAAGGTAGTATTTTAGGACCTTTACTTTTTGTTCTTTTTATCAATGATATATGTAGTTGTTTTTCATCCTCACAGCTTTTGCTATATGCTGACGACCTGAAAATTTTTTCCGCGGTCAAAGAATATGAAGACGCGTTACGGCTTCAAGAAGAAGTTAATAAATTATATATGTGGTGTCGTAGATCTCGTCTCTATTTTAATATTAATAAGTGTTACCACGTAACGTACTCCAAAGTGGTGGAAACGTGGTTCCCACGTCATATAGTATTTCTGGTACTGTCCTTCAGGCAGTGGACGAGATTAAAGACCTAGGTGTGATTTTTGATTGCTCGTTTACCTTTAATAAGCACATTGACTTCATTATATCCAAATCATATGCTGCTCTGGGATTTGTGCGCCGAAATAGCTCAAACGGTTTTTCTTGGCAGAAATAAACTCGGTGGTTTGCTATTGCCTGCCGAGGGGCGCCCGGCTAAAACTAATTAATAAAATATCTACAAAATTAACAATAAAATATTTTCTTCGCAAAATCTATGAAGGGCTCTTCTATTAAACAAAAAAAAAAACTAGCAGTTACTCGTCGCACCGCTGTATTGTATATATATAGAAGGGATATGCTCCTTCCAAATTCTTGATAGCATTGGTTGCATACGTACATAATTGACTTAAAAAAATCTCTCACTGCCAAAGACATAACTGAAATATTGAAGATCCATGTATGCCTAAACCATCTTGAGCAATCTCTAGAGTTTTTGGGGCGAGAGGAAAGCTTTGGAATTCGGTCTGAACAAGCTGGGGAGTCAATCCATCGTCATTTCGTGAGGTTTTGGAATAGAGGAAAGTGAAAAACCATCATGGATCCCATATATGCTGTGAAACTAAAGGAAGCAGTCATAGACTTTTCTTTTAAGCACATTAAAACCACGAGGCAAGTGATTAACTTTGGCTATGCCATAGCTTGTATACACTTCAAACATCACAATAGTCAATTTGTATGTAAAGTTTCCTTACTTGAGTAAATATTTCTGATAATATTTTTTGAGAATCTTGTCACTATTTCTGGAATTTGATTTCCTGACAGGTACAGTAGTATTTGCAATTACACATATCGTCATTTAAAGTACAAAACCGCGTATCAAAAAAATGCAAAACCGCGTATCAAGATAATGCAAAACCGCGTATGTGAGGTTGCATAGATTATTTTCTATTTCAAAATGGTTCTCTTTTTTATAAAGCAATCACATTTCTGGCTAGTATATTTCACTACGAATGAATGAGGATTGAGCCAAGAGCTTGTGTGAGCAAATCCAATTTTTGGCAGCAAATGTCAGTTACGCGGTTTTCCAGAATGACCATACGCGGTTTTGTACTTTAAACGACGATATGTACATACACTGGAAATCAAAAGTGAGTGCATGGTGTTTTTGTTTAATATTTGCAATCTTTTTCTAGTTAAATTTTTTTTGTGGTTATTTTTTTTATAAAAATATGGTTCGTGCTTTAATTTAAACCGTATAAGTCTAATTTTCAAACTTTATACAGAACTTAGAAAATTCAACGGATTTCACGTTTGACCTTTTTAATCTGAATTTTTAGAAAAATGTTAAGTACGTAGATAGATCGGTTTTTTAATTCTAGTAAAACAAGTGCAAGTTTTAAGTGGCAAAAAAAGCGCGTTGATTTTTTATTTATTTTATTGTATTATTAAGAAAATTAACGCTATATTTTACAAATTGCACTTGTTATATGCATTAAAACGCAAAATCCGTAGGAAAAAATATTCATTAAAAATGAACGCGTTTTTCAGCCGCTTAAAACTTGTTTTACTAGAATTAAACCGATCTATCTGCTTACTCAAAATTTTTCTAAAAATTCAGATTAAAAGGGTCAAAATTTAGACGAAAATTCGTTGAATTTCTGTATAAAGTTTGACTTATGTGGTTCTAATTAAAGCACGAACTATATTTTTATAAAAAAAAAAATTAAAAAATTTTACTTGAAAAACATTTCAAATATTAAACAAAGCACACCGGGCACTCACTTTTGATTGCCAGTGTATATACATATATAGTGTGTGTGAATGTGCGTACGCATAAATATACTTTGGCCAGTGACGGTAGCCATTTTTATGCATTTAAATTTTTAACACTCGAGTTTTTTTTATTAAAATCCTGAATAAGACCTAACGGGGTGGTTTTCTCCTATATGGACACCTACGATTTCAGGGTAAAGATTTCTTGTTCCAGTGGATGTTAAATAATCACCGGGCACCTATGAATTTTTTTGGCATTATGGAAAAACTTTTCTTTGCCAGACAACTGTGAATGACGTGCAGTATTCTGCGAACATTTAAATGTTGAAACACCAGTCTCGTTTCTATGGTGGCCATATCCTGATCGATCACATTGTTCATCACTAAAATATTCTAAAACTTCTAGAAAGGTATAAATGAGCTAATGTAGAAAATGTATTTTCAAAGACATTTTGTCTCCGATTTGGGCTTGGTTTCTCAGTATTTTTCCTACAAGGGTTTTAGCAGTTTTAGCCAGATTTTTTTCTAGGAAACCATTGATGACATCAATGAAAGAGTTGAATCCACTTAACTTCTGACACCCAAATTCATAAAAAATAAAGAAGACTTTAACTTCTTTACAAATTAAACATTTTTATGGAAATGTCACTTTATAGAGCTCTTTATCTATTTTATTTTTTATGAATAATTTGAAGTCTTCAGTTGCCATAGTTTCTGAATGAACGTATGGTATATTCGAAATCAGCGTCCTAAATATACCCCAGAAATATGGATGCCGTCCTTGCCTTTTCCTGGAAATTATGTTTTGTAAACCTATGTTATTACAGGGTATTTAGGACAGGTTAAGTGTTACCAATAAAAATGCCATATTTTCTTTATTTATGAATAAGTTTTGCTGGACTAAACAAAAAGGATTATGAGCAGGGTCAGAGGTTTTTTTATTATAGATTGGTATTCACCGTGATCGTGAGCGAAAAAAAAGCAAAAAATTGTTAACGATAGACAACGATCGTCAAACGCCTTCTCGAAAAAAAGGGGAAATTAAGGGCCTTGAGGTTGATGCTCTTCCCATTATCGTCGAGGCGCTGGCATGCATGTGTATTGTGTTTCCAAAAATTTAAGTAATACGCAATCGCTTTATTTGTTTATCTTTTTAGATAAAAATGAACTTTTATCTGCAAAGAATTTCTTGGAACAAGCGGCCGAAGAAAACTTACCTGAGTTCTTAAAAGCTCTTTCGGATATATTGGTCTCTGTGAACAACAGTCCAGTAGCACGTATGGCTGCAGGATTACAACTTAAAAATCATTTGACCAGTAAAGATGAGACTGTCAATCAACAGTATCAGCAACGATGGCATCAATTTTCAGAAGATACTCGCGAGTACATAAAAAGAAATGTATATGTAAATTTTTTAAATACCAATATCATTATTCAAGCTAATTTTATTTTTAGATCCTCGCTGCTTTGGGAACAGAAAATACTCGGCCTTCCTGCGCTGCACAGTGTGTTGCTTATGTAGCCGTCACAGAATTGCCTCTAAAAGGATGGCCTGTTCTTATTCAAACATTAGTCAACAAGGTTGTGACTGATAATTCCAGCGAAATTGATCGTGAAGCAGCACTGGAAGCTATTGGATACATTTGTCAGGACATACGTTATGGCGTGTTGGAACACCAGTCGAATCAAATTTTGACAGCTATCATCCATGGAATGAGAAAGCTGGAGCCGAGCAATCATGTCCGACTAGCAGCAACAACTGCTTTGCACAATTCCTTAGAATTCACAAAAGCTAATTTTGAAAAAGATCTGGAAAGAAATTTCATAATGGAAGTAGTATGCGAAGCAACTCAATCTCAAGACACACAGGTTTGTGTAGCCGCCCTACAGTGCTTGGTTAAAATTTTAACCCTTTACTATCAATATATGGAACCTTATATGGCCCAAGCTTTATTCCCTATTACTTTGGAAGCTATGAAGTCAGAAAACGATCAAATAGCTTTACAGGGAATTGAGTTTTGGTCAAATGTATGCGATGAGGAAATCGATTTAGCAATTGAAACTCAAGAGGCAAATGACGCCGGTCGAGCTCCTATTCGAGTATCAAAACATTACGCCAGAGGCGCTCTTCAATATCTAACTCCTGTGTTAGTAGAAAAGCTCACAAAACAGGATGAATGTGACGACGAAGATAACTGGAGCCCACCGAAAGCAGCATCTGTTTGCCTGATGCTATTAGCAACATGCTGCGAAGATGAGATTGTTCCATATGTTTTCCCGTTCATCAAGGATAACATAGAGTCGCCAAACTGGCGTTTTCGCGATGCTGCTGTTATGACCTTTGGATCTATTTTAAGTGGCCTAGAAACCAATACTCTAAAACCTTTAATAGAGCAAGCAATGCCTACACTGATACATTTAATGTATGACGAAAGTGTAATCGTTCGGGATACGACAGCATGGACCTTTGGCCGGATATGTGATGTAAGTTATTTCTAATTTTTTAATTAGTTCCTAGAAGCTTAGGCTCTGTGTTGGTTACGGTGAACTTTAGTACCCACATTGAAGTCAAATTTGAAATATCTCAACACTACAGGTATTTCCGATTAATTGCACCGAGTCTACCTAGTATTATGAAAACATAAAGGCATAATTTAATAAAATTGTCGTTGTTACTTTAAATTTTCATTGCATAACATGAAGGCATAAATATACCCCAGTAAAAGAATTATATGTGCAATACATCAACTTCAACTAGTTAAATGAAAAACCAATACTAGATCTTTGATGCTTTTCCCCAATAATTGTATTCATTTACTTTATCAAAAGAATATAAAAAACTTTCTGAATATGCATTAGTTTATAACAAGAGAATTTAATTGTACCATTATGTTGAAATTTTCATAGAAAATATTTATATGTGCAAAGAAACAAGTTTTAGGCTATCGATTATTTTAGAAAAGTTTAAAAGATAATTTTATTTGTTGCTTTTGGATTGTATTTCTATTGCACAATTTTATTTGTTTTCCGCTTTGCGACATAGATTTTACCGAAATTTTGTAGTAAAATTTGTATTATCTCCTCCTATTTATGAAGTTTGGTTTATTTAAGTTTCAACGCGTTATCATTCTGTCTCAAATAATAATAATAAGTAAAAATCTTGTTGAGAAGTTGTTACAAATTACACTGGTATTAAAGCCCACATTTGAGGCTAGATATTCTAAAAGAAGGTATTTTATTCCCTCAATAACGATTTTGTTGTTCGCACGGTATGAACAACAACGTTTTGCCGCTGGAATTTTCAAATATCTTCAGTCGAAATGAGCGAAAAATGTGCCAACTTAATGCACAAAGAATGTTTCTACTCTAGATATTAATTTTTCTCAAAGTGAAAATATTTTATTTGTTTTCCAAAGCTATACGCTTTTTACTTTAAAGCAGAGATTCCTTTCGCCAAGGGCAGGTTTGCCATGGGAGCCGGATGACTCTCCAATAATGGTGGGCATCTGGATCAGTTATATTGAATTTTTTTTCATCAGTGAAAATTGCATTTTTCAATTCTTCCTACGAAATTTGTAATTTTTGTAAAATGCTAAAAGGCATTTCTTGCCATATGCTATTTATTTCTTCAACCTAAGTACCAAATCTGTGTTTATTATTTATTGGAAACTTTGCCTTGTGAGAGAGAGATTCACATACATTTCAATTTTTACGGTAAATCATGCTGTTCCTAGTAGCTAACCTTTTGATATGTCATTTGCACCACTCTTGGGGTTTGTATAGGGCCATCAAGATCATTATTTCCATAGTCGTCGGGATTTTTAAAGGAATAATATTCTGCTGTCTAATTACTTTAGCAGTTATTTAGCTACCTTTCATGCCACAAAAATGCATTCCTGTTATATTTACGGGCTCTTCTTCAGATAGTTCAATGCCACGGGATATTATGGGCCATAATATAATTAGGGAAAATAGTAAAACGGTTTCTATTATGAAACAGCTTCTATATGTTTAACCTTTTACCACACAGTCATTGGTGTAGTTTTCTGTTGAAAATTTTTGACACTGCAGCAGGCGGAAGCTGAATAGTTAATTTTGCATATATATGTAATTATTTACTATTGAGTATTAACTATTGTTTGTGATGACGGTAGTTAAAATTATAAAGGAACATCCACTAAACATATGAAAACACTTATAAGCTAAAGGCTTTTATAATCGCATACAGCAAAAAGTTTTACCCTTCTTCCATAGAGCGAAAATGAGGAAAAACATATTGCAAATATAATTCTTTTACTGGGTTACATATACATATGCACTATCGTACAATTTAAAGTGCACAGCTTGCTCTAATATAATATTCATACTTATTTTCATGAACAATTTTTTTGGATTAATTACACGGTTCTCAAAAACGTGACGTGTCGAAAAATTTAACGAAATGGCAAATTTCAAAAAGAAAAAAAAATACGTGTTAATGAAAAACAAATTCGCCTGATTGATTCCACCTCATGACGATGAGTTAAATAGAAAATAGCTTGCACTTTTTTTCCCTCAGATACGAAAATCTCAATCTATGAAATTATACGATCAAATTGTGTTGAACCGTGTAATTTAAGAAAATATTATTATAGAAATCAAAGTTTTACAATTTATTTCAAGTTTACAAATATTCAAAAAATGTTCATCAAAATTTTCAACTTTTTATTCAGAACTTCTGGAGGGTGTTGCGGGTTTTTTCCATATAAAAATAATTGTGTATTCGTTATATGGAAGCAAATGCAACAAAAAAAAAAATAAACCAAAAAAATCAACGGTAATCTTTAGCGACTTGAAACTTGCACTTTGTTTACTAAAATTGAATGGGCTACAAACCTACATACTCGAAAAGTTTCTAGAAATTGTGAATAATTTTCATGAAAATAAATGTGAATATTACAGGTATTAGAACAATCTGTGCGCTTTAAATTGTCCGATACGATAGTGTACCTTGTTTATACCGACTCATAAAACGTTTTGACCCAGTTCATTGTGATTCAGAACGGAAAAACAAACCAAATTTTAATAGCTCAGAAATCAAAAATGTATTGACTCGAATTTGTTTTCAAATCGCTTTTTTATTTCTCACATCGCACAGTGTTTCTACTATATGGAGGCTGGTGGAAAAAAGTCGTGGTTACAGGTGATTAAAAAACCTATTGGACTTAGAGAGAGAAAATAATAATAACTAGAGTGCCAGTTACTGTCGAAATTCGACAGTTTTTCCAGTTTTAGAAGCCTTGGAGAGGTTTACTAACTGAACACGTAGCAAAACTTATACGGTACAAATTAACTAACCGGAAAATCTTCTGCTGAAACGTAACTAAATTTTTTTTATCTGAGAAGGTCTTTGGAGGACTTCGGCAGGAATTGGAACTGACCCGATACATTCAAGTTTATCGATAAATTTCAATGATTTGATACATATCGATAGTTCGATGAATTTCAAGAACACTAAAATTCGATAACTCAACAAAATTCGTGAATTCGACCAATTTCGATAACTTTGAAATTCGATGGCTCGATAAATTTCGATAACTCAAAAATGTAAAAACTTTGGATACCTTTATAAATTTTTACTTTTGACATCTCCACATTTTTCGAAAACTATCTAAACATTTTGATAACTCGTTACACTCTGTTAACACGATTAAATGCGATAAGCAGTGATAAATCGATAAGCTCATATAACCTTGAAATTTCGATAAATCGATATATTTTGAAAATTCCATAAACTTCGCGTTGTTGAACCAACCATTTTCAGTAGATCAATAATTATCGATAACTCTGTAAGTTGAAAGAACTCCATGCATTACGACACCTCGATAAATTTCGTTAAGTCTATAAATAATGATAATTCAATAAATATCGATAACTTGATACATTTCTTTAACTTGACAAATTTCGTTAATCCCACACGTTTTTATAGCTCGATAACTATCCGTAAATTTGGACAACTAACTTTCTGTGTCTATAAATTTCGACAACTCAGTAAACATTGATCAGTTTGAATAATTCGATACGTTGCGATAACTTAATAAGCATGGATAAATTCGATAATTTGATATAAACTTCGATGATTCGATAAATTTCAGTAACCTTTATGGCTGATTTTATTTCGATTCCTATCTTTTAACCTAATTCTTATGTATTTCTCATTGTCTCCATTTTCACCTTTATCTCAATTTTCGTCTTTATCTTCACTTTTGCCTCTTTTTGACTTCATCGTTCTCACTTGTTTCTTCATCTTCATATTTATCTTTATTTCAAAGTTTAATTTTAAATACGAAGTAAAACAAAATGCGAAACAGCTTAAATTGAACAGGTTGCGAAAACAACCATACACAAATATGGAAATTTTTAAACGACGATTTTCAACCAATTTCGAAACTATAAAAACTCCTCATCTACAGAAAATTACCTTTCCAACGGTGTTTTTGGTTTTGAAATCGGTAACTTTACCTTGGTCTTCATCTTTGTTTTTATCTTTCACATCTTTGCTTATATCCTTTTCTTTTTCTATTCACGTAGATGAGGTGAGGTGCGATGAGTGATAAGATGTGACGTGATTTTATGTGATGTGATAGGATGTCATGTCATGTGTTGTCATACCCTCAGATGTCATGTCATATGATGTCATATCATGTGATGCCACGTCAGGTAATGCCATGTCATATCATACGATGACATATCATGTGATGTCAAGTCATGTGATGTCATGCCATATAATGTGATGTCATATCATATGATGTCATGTCACGTGGTATCGTGTGATGGGATATCATGTGATGTCTCTTCATATCATGTGATGTCTCTTCATATCATGTGATGTCTCTTCATATCATGTGATGTCTCTTCATATCATGTGATGTGATGTCATTTAATGTGATCACATTCCATGTTCCGATTATTATATGGATAACCCTGTTGATAACTGTGCCGATAAAAATACCGATAACAATATCCATAAACATATAGAAAAATACAACGATTGCAAAATCGATTAATTCATCGATAAATATAACAATCATCAGTATCGATTATTGCACATATCGATAACAATATAAATCAATTATTTAATCGATTATTATACCGATAACAATATCCATTATTGTATCGATAATAATATAGATTATTATATTGATTATTATATCGATTACAATAGCTGTTATTTAATCAATAACAGTATCGATAACAACATCGATTATATTATCGATAGCAATGTCGATTATTATATCGATAAAAATATCGGGTTTTATATCGATAACAATATCGATCTTCATCCTCATCCTTTTCTTCATATTTAACTTTATTTTTGCATATTCCTCTACACCTTTACCTTAAAGGGTTTAAATTTGCTTTGATCTTCGTTTTTGCCTGTACCTCTAGGCATCTTTGTTTTTGTTTTTATTCTCAAACTGCTAAACCGCTGAGAACCATTTCGATGTGCATTATTCCCCTTGAATTTTACAATTTACTCCCAACCAACCAACTGCCGCTAAAGAAGTTTACTTCATGAATTCAAGAAATGTTCTTACCCTTTCAGTTACCCTAATTCTTATGTATCTGTCATTGTCTCCATTTTCGTCTTTATCTTCACTTTTGTCCTTTCTTTTGACTTCATCGTTCTCATTTATTTCTTCCTCCTCATATTTATCTTTATTTCAAAGCTTAATTTCAAATGTGTAGTGAAACAACAGGCGAAACATGTCAAATTGAACATGTTGCAGCAACATCTATACACAATTCGAAAATGTTTAAACAACGGTTTTGGGCGTAATTTTCAACCAATTGTGAAACCATAAAAACTCTGCTCATCTACGGAAAAATCGGTTCGGTAGAATCGCCAAACGAACGGAGACAAAATTTATGTTAGCGTATTAATATATAGATAATAGATTGGCGCTTACACATATGTTAGTGTTTGGCCGAGCTTCTCCCCCGATTTGTGGCGTGCGCCTTAATGTTGTCACACAAAGCGGAGGGACCTACAGTTTCACGCCGACTCCGAACGGCGATTGTATTTTTATGAGAAGCTGTTTTTCACGGCAGAAATGCACTCGGAGGTTTGCCATTGCCTGCCGAGGGACGACCGCTGTAAAGAAAAAACCTTTTTTCTATATTTTTTTGCGATGTTGCTTTGACCAGGGCTTGAACCCAGGTGCTGCGGAGAGAGAGAAAAGTAAAAGTCATAAATACAAAATATCACATAATTTACTCACCCCTCCCTACGAACGGTACATTTTCACGCACGATACCGACTAATCAGTTTATTTGCATTTTGCGCTGAACCCTTAACATCAAGTGTTTCTTTTTCCTCTGTAATCGATTCTTTTGTTTCTACTTTGGTGAGTAGCTGAAATCGCGCAGGGTGCGCCGGAGGAGTTCCAATTATTTTAATTAAAAGAACAGATAAAATGTTGTTTGAATTCAACTGCCAATTCACAAGCTTATTGCGTTCGATCGAGTTAGTACAAAGTTCACTTAAGAGCTACTTAATTTGCCCGAGTGGCGGTATAAAACATTTGGTGATGCGGTTGCGACGGCGGTTAAAAAGTGAGTGACCCCCGCTTCATCGGCGAGGACGAGTCACACCGTACCCTCGCTTACAATATATTCGACTGCTACAATGCAATTTCGAAAATACAAAGTAAGATGAGGTGGCACAATATTTAGTTAGGGTCTAGTACAATAATACATATTAGAAATAAATGAAATGAATTTACAATACCAAATTAATATATATGAAAGGCGCCTGTCACACCAACAATACGGATCGCGATATTTGGATCGCGATTCTGGATCTTGATATTTATTGAAGGTGTAGCATCAAATATTGATGGATCGTGATACGGATCCCAAAATATCTAGAAGTTCTGAAATCCGGATCACGCATCGCGGATCGCGCAGTAAATATTGAAGGTGTAGCATATTCAAAACGCGATCCATACATTTAGCCAGTACATTTTGTACTCTCATAATGCGAACATCGAAAACGTATTCGCTCTCGGCTCTTAAAACCTTTCAAAACAAATTGAAAGCATTTAAATTAACATAAGAAATTATCTTTAAATTATTGGTACAAAATATAAATATTTTCTTGCGGCATAATAAGCGTGCAGCACAAAAATTATGCAAATACTGACGCGATAAATATTGAACGTTTAGCACACACTCACGATCCATCAATATTTTTAGATCCATCAATATGGATCAGCATCCAAATATCGCGATCCGTATTGATCGTGAACCGGCGCCAAAAGGTATCAGGAGGCGATGTATGTATAGTCCATGTCTTCAACATCTATAAATGCCGAGGAATATTTAGGTGGAGGTATTTCTCATTTATTTGGTATTTTCCTGTTCATAAAATTTACTTGAAAATGTAGATGCTGTTGTTGTTGTTGTAGCGGCTACAACAACCCCGCCCAGGACGGTTGGTATCTCAGTCGTTGTCGTCAAGTTCCACTAACGGCAGCCCTAGGAAGCGTGCAGCTTCTGTGGGGTTTGTCCACGGGGACAAGGCCGTTAGGGTTGTCGGGTTTTCCGGGCATGCGAAGAGATGTTTCGAGTCATGTGGGGTCTCTCCGCAAGCCGGACACTCATTCGGCACATCCTCATTCAACCTACTCAGGTAGGAGTTCAACCTGCTGCAGTAGCCGGAGCGAAGTTGTGCAAGTGTTGTGCGTGTCTCCCGAGGCAGATGAAGCTCCGTTTCGTCTATGTCGGGGGGTGGTATGCCTAGAACGGCATTCACAGGTCTAGAGTCTACATAACTCGAGACTGAGTCCCTGTGAATGCCGTTCGGGGCCTGTCGGTACGCTGTCGGGTCCAGAGGTTGCTTAATGAACCTCTGGTCTTCGTCCGTCAATTCATATAGATGCCTCCTGACGTGCCTAGGCGAGGGCTCCTCTGCAAGCAGCTGTCTGCTTGGGTGGCCACTTCTGTGGCTCCCGATCAGGAACTGCTTGCA